TCCTGGAGCAGCAGCGGCTCTCGATGGAGCGGTTCGCGCGCCAGCAGGAGCGCGCCGTGCGCCAGCTGGAGGCGCGCCAGCAGGCGGCGCGCGACGAGGCGGCGCAAGCCGAGCGCGAGCTGGCGGCGCTGCGCGCGCAAAGCGCCGAGGCCGAAATCGGCCGCGACCAGGAGGGTGGCCCGCTGGAAGCTGGAGCTGGCAAGCGGCTACGAGACCCAGATCAAGGTGAGCCGGCGGACGGCGACGACAGGCAGTGGCTGCCGCAGGTGGTGGGAGGGACTCCCCGGGGCTGGGCTAGGAGGACGCCGGCCTTCGGTCGGGTGGGAAGACGCCGCCTCGTGGCGAAGGTGGGAGGTTGCCGGGCTGGAGATGATTGGAGGCGGCTGATGGGACGAGCGGTGCTGCCGGCAGACGCGCTGCTGGAAGATGGAGTTTGTGCATCGGAAGCTGCGGCGATGGGCTGGACCAGTTACTGTTGGGCGGGGCCAGTTGCTGCTGGGCGGGGCCAGTTGCTGCTGGGATGGGCCGGTTACTGCTGGGCTGGACCAGTTGCTGGCTGGCCAGTGACCAGCTGCCTGCACGGTACACCAGAGGACAGATACCGCCGGTGACGGAGTGGGTGTGGGGACAGGTGAGAGTCTGGTCGCCGGACTGACAGCACTGTAGGCGTCTGGTTCCGAGGACCAGAATCTCCCGAGCCTTTTCCATCAGCTTCGTGTTTCTCACGGAGTGACTTGCACAATGCACATGCACCAGTTGGTTGTAGGTCGCTTTTGGTATAGCCGGTGCGCACCACACCTCGAAGCCAGAGTGGGGCGCGGGCCGGGGTAGGCTGTGGTGTGTCTGTCGCACCCGCCGGCGGCCCTGACCCGTCTGCAGCGCGCAGGTGAGCTGAGCGGGCGGCGGGCGCGTGACCCTCGCCCCCGCTCCTGCATGGGGACACCGGACAGGCCGTGGCCGGCCTTAGTGGGTAGAAGAGCTTGGTGTGGCGTCGGCTTGACTGGTGCTCTGTCCGTCTGTCTGCCTGCGGTGGATTATGCTCTCCTGTCTGTCTCCTGTCTGCATACTCCCCTCTGGCCACACGGAGACCACCTGTCGCTTCGGCGCGAGCGCAGGCTCGTCGCGCGGTGGTTGACAGCCATCGCCGTCTGTGTTGGACTGACCGAATTGCTGCGCCATTCTGTTTCCAGGTTGATGCCGGCCTTGGCTACAGCTCCGATCTTGTTTTCTGGTCCCTGGTTGATATTATGTGATGCCTCTCGTGCCCTGTCCAGGCGGGTGCTGCCAGTGGCAGTTGTCCGTGCTTTCATCTATTGCTGGTTGTACCGTTCTGCTCTCCCCCCCCCCCCCCTGCATACGTTGTACTGCGCGGGTCTGACCTGATCCCTCGATGAATTAAGATGTGTTCGGGTCGGTGGGCTCAATTTGACCCCCCGAACGCTTCTACAAAGTTATTTTTGAACGTGCAAGCGTAGCCATGCCAAAATTTGCATAGCTATAGGCAATTGAATTGTGAATGTCTTGGTGACAAATTTACATTTACCTTGTAAGGTCACTGACGTACGGTAGGTCAAAGTCGTGGGTAGCTGTCAGCGAAGGCAGTGTATAGAGAATCGTCCAATCTGATGCGACAACGGAGTGCCAGACGAAGCCTCTGTGAGAGGGTATGTCAGGCAATAAAACAATGGGATTTAAAATTAGGACTATTCTATTGACCTAGGGTCAGGCAGGGAGTTTAAACAGAGGTTAAACCAATACGCCTCTTTACTGGAGAGCTTGCTTTATTAGGAGTAGTTTCTGATGCATATTACGAATTTCAACAGGAACTGCACAGAACTGCACAGGAACTCCCCGGACTTCTTAGCAAGCGCTCGGGTGGGCGGGGGTCAAGTTGACCCCCCGAAGATTTTTCCGGAATGACTTTTAACTAAAAAATTTTGCATTGCAATAGCCAAGGGAATAGCGGATCGCCTGCTATCAAAAATTTGGATGTACCTTGTAAGATCGCTGGCCTACGACAGGTCGAAGTCAGGCCATGGATTCAGCGAAGACAATTTCTAGAGAACGGTTAAATCTGATGCAACAACGGAGTGTCAGACGAAGCTACACATCTCTGAGAAAGTTATTTAGGCAGCACAACAACTGTCCTAACCAATTTCATTGCCCAAGGATCAGGTATAAAGTCCTGAGCAAGGTCAAACCCAACCTGTTTTTGTTACCCTAGAGCTTGCTGTATGGAGTGTTTTCTTGTGCTCATTGCGAATTTATTAATAACAGGAACCGTATTATACATCTTCCATGAACTTTGTAAAGGTCAGATTAGTTCACTGATCTAAACTGACCCGGGCCAATATTGTGTTTTTAGGGACATACTGTCTGGCGTAATTTCTGCCGCGTATTCAAATGCAAAACTCAAAGCAGTCTCGTATGATTTTGGTCACCGTGGCCTTCGAAAATCAAACAAGGTCACTGGCCTTAAATTAGCACAGGTGACCTCTTTCTGAGGGCAGGCATCTAAGCTCTGGGTAAATGGCCTCCCCCACCCGAGCGAAGGGTATTGAACAGGCTTCCCGGGCGCATGTGAAAGGTCATGGTAGGTCACTTACCTTAAATGACCCAGATTAAACGTTTGTCTTAGCGAACGTATCGTCTAGAGTCATCCTTAACGCTTGTTCAAATACAAATACAAAATATCTTGGGTTTTGGTCACCATTTCCTTCTCAAGGTCAGAAAAGCCCGTGGGATAATATGAACACTGGCGACGTCTTGCCTAGAACAGGTATTGAGGTTCAACGTGGTTGCGTGAAGAGGTCTTCGGAACTTTTGACACCAGTCTTGAGTTTGACCATGTTAGCTTTTTTGACCCGAAGGTCGTCATCTATGGACTTTAAACTTTGGCCGTAGTGAGTTGATATACAGACCAACCCACCCTGTGAACTTGGTGCCTCTACCTTTTACTTTTTGAGGTCTCAGGGGAGTCAGATTGATCCCCCACCCGGGCGAAGGGTATTCAACCGGCCGCCCGGGAGCGTGTCAAGTCTCCGTGTGTTTCCTCAACCCGTCAGCAGGAAGTCGGCACACCGCCGCCAGTCAGTGGTCGTCACCCAGACGATACGGCGCGGTGGCTGTCCGGACGTTGGCGCGCGTCGGCCAGGTGGAGGGCGGGAGCGCTGGCCGGCTGGGCGTTGTGACGCTGCACACATGCTCTGGCAGCAGGCCGCCACCTGGCGCGTGCGGGGACGTCGGTGCCGCGGGGCCTGGTCCTCGCCGTCGTTCCGAACTTCGGGCCGCACTCTGCGGCCGTCATGCGCGCGCTGCTGCTGACTGCTTGGTCCGGTGGCCTCAGTCTGGGCGTCGCGGCGCAGCCTCTCAGGAAGCTCCTCTCCCAGACCGTGCTGTTGTCCCCTCCCGGAGGTGTGACGTCACAGGCGCGATCGTCCGCTGTCTTCGCGGTGATTCTGATCTGTGATCCCGACGGCCCGACCTACCGTGCCCGGATGGGGCCGTGATCCACGCGGCTGGCTACGCTGGTGGGGTTCAGTGGGACCTCCCATGGCCAGGACTGGGTCGTCTGATCTCCCGTGACCCGGACCCCGCCGCAGGCTGTTCTCCACCGGGGTCAGTATGATCTCCCATGGTCCTATGTGTCTGCCTGACCTCCCCGTGACCATGACCCGCCGCAGGCTGTTCTTGCCGGGGTCAGTCTGGACGAGGAGACGGCCAGCTCTGTGGCGCAGCTGCGCGCCCGCCCTGCAGTGCGACAGTGGCGGCCGCCCTGGCGGAGCGGGAGGCGGCCCATCATGCGGAACTGCGGGCGCTGGAGGCGCGCCACGAGCGTCAGCAGCGCGAGCTCCGCCTGCAGCTGGAGGCGGCCGCCGCGCCGCGAGCGCCACCCTGCATGTACGGACGGCCGCCGCAGGTCCGGTCGGAGGAGCCGCGGCCGTAAGCGCGGGCCGCGCGCCAGACGGGCCCGCTGTAAATGGCGCGGCATGCGGCGGCGTGGCGTCCGTCGAACGGTACTCACGGCAGCAGACTGCCCGCTCCAGCTATCTGTGTGTCACCGGCGCGCCGACACAGGGCGGGGCGGCTGGGTGACTGCCGGCCGGCTCCCTTGCCGGGTCATGTGATGTGATGCGACGTGTTGTGCTGGTGTGGTGTGATGCAACGTACTGTGCTGATGTGATGTTCGAGCGTACTGTGCTGGTGTGGTGTGATGCGACGTACTGTGCTGGTGTGGTGTGATGCGACGTACTGTGCTGGTGTGGTGTGATGCGACGTACTGTGCTGATGTGATGTTCGACGTACTGTGCTGATGTGTGTTCGACGTACTGTGCTGTGTGATGCGACGTACTGTGCTGGTGTGTGATGCGACGTACTGTGCTGATGTGATGTGATGCGACTTACTGTGCTGATGTGATGTTCGACGTACTGTGCTGATGTGATGTGGTACTGTGCCGATGTGATGGCGTACCGTACTGATGTGATGTGGTGTTAGTAGTCCTAAGGCGGCTGTATGACCCTGCTAGCGGCCGTCCGCGGGCTGTGAGCGTTTTCCCCTGGCGTAGATACCGTGCCGTGCATGTGATCGGTGCGGTCTCTCGCTCTGTTATGCCGGTGTGGATAATCATTGTAGCATTCATACGGCAGAATCATTCGACCGGTGAATTGGGGTTGAATCTTGAATCTTACCCACATCAATGTCTTTGTCGCCATTGTATGAATTGAAGGATTCCATACCGGTCAACAAGTAGACGGAGAGCGTTTTCAACACTGTTTCTAGACTAAACAAAGTGTTTTGAATTGTTTGGTATGATTTGAATGTAGCGCTTACTAAAGCCTTTGCATTCGCTGGACGTCTCCCGACACTAACCGCTGTGCCTCACGCACAACTCTCCGCTTGCTCACGCACAACTCATTTGCACCCTATCATTCCCGTCAACCCTGCCTCAGCAGCGCCCCGGAGGTTCTCAGCATGCCAACGCCATGTGATGAACTCACATCACCCTGCCGTGATCCCGGGAGTCAAATGGACTCAGCACCCACACGACTAGCCGATGCGGAGCCCTTCCCCGGGACGCGCGGCAGTCCCCGCGTATTTGTGAGCTGAAGCGGTCCGCGTCTCCTGATGCGCTGTCCTGGCCGCCAGCCGGCTGGCCGCCGTCATAGGGGCCGAGGCCTGCCCGCTGTCCGCGCGACGAACGTGGGAGAGGGCCGGGCTTCGTCCGCACCCGGGCAGTCCCCCACCCCCATCCGCTCAGCCGCTCGCATGCGCTCACTAACCGCCGGGCCCGCCGCTCCTTAGGAGACCCTAACCGAGGAGCTGGAGTCGCTCCAGGAGCGGCTCGGTAGCGACCTTCTCGACTGTAGCCACTTCGGCGAGGGTTTGTCTCTGGAGCTGGACGGGTTGCGGCTGCAGATCCGCCAGGTTTGTCGGCGGCCGGCGCTCTCCCCTCGCTCTGGTGTCGGCGGCCGGCGCTCTCCCCCTCGCTCTGGCGTCGGCGGCCGGCGCTCTCCCCCTCGCTCTGGTGTCGGCGGCCGGCGCTCTCCCCCTCGCTCTGGCGTCGGCGGCCGGCGCTCTCCCCCTTGCTCTGGTGTCGCGGCCGGCGCTGTCCCCTTGCTTTGGCGTCGGCGGCTGGCTGGGCCGGTGGAAGGGCTCCGGTTGTCGACGCTGCACGGCTGGGAGGAGGCCGGCGCCGACCTGCTCCGTCCGCCGGTCGGGAGGCGGTGCACCGGCCGCCGGTGCCGCCGCTGACGCCGACCTCCTCCGTCCGCCCGTCAGCTGTGACGGCGCGGACGGGGGCGGACCCGGCTCGTGCCGCCGGCGCTGGTGTGGCGGAGCCCTGCACCTGCGCTGGTCCTCTGCACGCGACCCCGGCTCCTGCTTGCGCTGGGGCTGTGGTATGCTTGGACGGTTTGCTCTGTAGATTGCCAGCTACTCCTCGGCAGTCCGCTGCCCTGTACTTCAGATTACCAACCGGCCCTGGCCGCTGGGCTGATGACAAGAGCTTTCCTCGCAATGAATAGCAAACCGCGTCATAGTTTCATTTGAATGTTTGTGGTGCCACTGTTTTTGTGTTGGTTTGTTATGTTCGGGCTTCATTTTTGTTCTGTTGGTATCTGCCGCATGTTTCTGGCTGCCTGGTGAGCGCATGCGCCGTTTGTAGTGCGTCTCGAGTGTCGGTAGATGCTCGGTTTTGGTACTGTAATTGGTCGTCAGTGAATACAGATATCAGGGCTTATATTTATTTGTGTACCGCATATTCAGTAAAAACACAATTATCAAAACCGCGAGCTGTCAGTCGTAATCATGCCCTGATGCCTTTAAGCTGTGGTGTTGCCTCCTGCTTCGCCCTCCAAAGCGTTTGCAGTGGAGTCCTGGAACTGTCTTACCTTTCCTCGCTATTTTTCACATTGCTGCCAAATTTAGAAACGTGATTGGAACATCATTGCAGTGTTCGTAATCGTGAACTTATTGGGTGCGGGCAGCTTCTGATAATTCTGGTAGTTCGGAAGCATGTTGTGACGTAATCTGTTCATCGCATCAGGCGATATCGGCGCGACAGCGTGGCAGTGGGCACGGTGGAAAGTGACCCGTGACACGCAAATGCGGGTGGAAAGGAACCTCACAAAAAATGTACTCAACAACAATCCCGTGTTGTACATGCTTCCGACCGCTTGGTCCAGATTGGTCTCGGACGGAGGCCCATTACACGCGGCCCCGCTCCCAGCAACGGGGGAGGGCAGCCGTGTCGGGTGCCCGACACGCCACTCGCCCAGCCGTGTGTGACGGGTGCGTGTGGCGCGGACAGCTGGACCAGACCCGGCAGCGACTGCAGAGCCACCTGGGGCCGGCCGACGAAGGCGCCACCATCGAGGTGGCGCGCGAGGAGCTGGAGCTGCTGCACCGCGACCGGTAGGTGTCAGCCGGCCGGGCGGCGAGGCTTTAGCTGGGGAGGAGGCGCTGCAAACGACGCCCGTGGCTCGCCGCGGAGGCCGGCGGGAGAGGCGTGATGTCGTGCGGCAGTGGCTGTCCCTAGGCGGCAGGGAGGTGGTACGCTTTTTGGCCGGTGTTTGGTACCCCTGGCCTCGATCTGCTGTAGATTTCCAAAGCTGATTTGTGTGGGACGTGCAAACAAAAGCAGGCGTCCAAGCAGACGTTCATTCGTCCAGTTGGTGATTTTTTTCAAAAGCCGCTCTTCTACGAACTTGCGCAGGTAAAGCCTTTTCTTACGTTGTTGAACTCACTTGGAGCCCAACTGTGTGTGTCTCACACCCCCGATTGTAGTAGCAAGCACGGCAGCAATGCGGACCCGGACCCAAACAAAGCTCTAGTAACGGAAATTGTGCACGGTCGCCATCCAGCGCAACCAATCACTAATCGTCGCTCTGCAGTGAGGAGCAGAGTGAGCAGATCCAGCAGCTGGGCGGGCTGGTGCGCGTGCTGTGCCAGTACTACCAGACGGCCGAGCGGCTGTACCGGCCGGCGCCGCCGCCCGGCCGCAGCGCTGACCCGGAGGCCGAGGCAACCGACCGCATGGTGCTGGAGGCGCTGGCGCCTGACGAGGGGCCGGTGCTCTGGGCCGAGCGCGGCCGCCAGCTGCCGCGCGTGCAGCAGTGCGTGCGCGAGGCGGCGGCGCGCCTGCAGGCGGCGGCGGCCGGCGGCGGCGAGCCGGAGCGCGCGCGCCGCGCCGAGCACCGCGCCGCCGAGCTGCAGCGCCGGCTGGACGGTCAGGCGGCCGAGCTGCTGGCGGCGCGCCAGGCGGCTGCCGCCCTCCAGGAGCGGCTGGAGGCCGGCGAAGAGCGCGAGGCGCTGGGCGAGAGCCGGCCGCCGGGTCAGGCGCCGCCCGCCCAGCCGCTGCCGCCCGAGGTCACGCTGCAGCACATCAGGGACGCCGGTGAGGGACCGGTGCCCGCTGCTGGGCTACGCTGATGTGTATCCTACTGTTTGGCGGTGCTGTGTTGGCCAGTCGCTCCCTGACGTTGGCGAAACCGTACCGCGCGCCAGCTCCGTCCCGGTCTGGTGTGGGCCTGCGTGTGCGCGTGCTCCGTGACATCGGCCTGTCCCGTGACACCGGCCTGTGCCTCGGCTCCGGCCCCACCCCAGCCCGACCCCGTGACACCGCCTGACCCTATGTCACCGGCCGGATCTCGTGACACCACCTGACACCGTGACACCATTTGACCCCGTGACACCGCCTGACCCTACATCACCGGCCTGACCTCGTGACACCGGCCCGACCCCGCGACACCAGCCCGACCCCGTGACACCGGCCTGACCTCGTG